GTTTCAGAGCACGTGGTGGGGGGCTACAGTAATTTTCCTTTTTATTGGATACAGATGAGCTTCAGCCCCATCTTTGTACTGCTGAGGAGCTTCTCACTTCAGCTAATGCAACTTCTTATGAATGTTCTTAAAAATTAGGAGGGGTGGGAAATAAATGCAGCTTTCAGATTGAGGAAACAGAAATACTAAGACGAAGAAGATAGTATTTTACCACTGAATACACTATAAATGCAAGTTAAAATACTTCACCTGTTAATCTACTCACATCAATTTGCAGTTTGCTTGTATGTAGCTATTTGATTTGCTTGTGGGTCATCCCAGTGCCTTGGCTCGCAGAGGAGAAAATCCTTTTTCACAAAGGTGGAATGCTTTTTATAGTTTCAAGAGCTGATCAGTCTTATAAAAACATGATGACTTCTCATTAATTCTGATTAGCCATCATACACTGTCTTCTTACAAAATACTGTATCTTTGTGCTTAATCCTTCCTATCAGTAAGGACTTAAGTTTATAAAGTGGGAAAATATTTACTGTAGGAAATTTGGTATTTACACTACTGATCTCTATTTTGATTTAAAAAAAAGGCACTATTCAAGTTCTCCCTCCTGGCTTATGTGCTGTCTTGAGGGTGAAGGAGGTTTATTTTTTCACAATCCATGTGACAGATGAGCATAATTTGTCTGTGCTTGTACCAAACCATACATTTCAGTTTTGCTGTGTGGGAATGTCTCAATTCTATCAAGCATGAGCAAGACATGTAGGATGTAAAATTCAGGTCTTGTGAAGCATCCTGGTAAGTATCTTATCACAGGGACTTCATCCACATGTGTAAGAAGATGTGTGGATTTAATAAACACTGTCAAGTTTAGAAAATAGCCATTTTAGGTTTAAAATGAATGAAAAATATGTATATGTTCATATATGTGAGTAACACCTCCATGTTCTTTGCTGACAATTATCTTTTACATAAGCTATGAAAGACGAGCCTTTGGCAGAATACTTCATTGTAGTTGAGGTTGAAGTCAAACTGATTAGTTAATACCGCCTAGTTACAAATCTTTTTTTCTCAAGCGTTTGGTGCTTTGGCTCATGTAGGCTTGCTGCTGACACCTGCAAGTGTGAGCACTGTATGATAGTTTAAAAGGAACAGAAAATTGAGCCAAGAAGAGCTGCATCTTAGTATGACTGAAGTTTTCAGAGCAATCATAAACTGTGTTACCTGGAGAAAACAAAAGGGTTAGCAGCCACGCTGGCACAGAGGGAATGTGATACACCGAGTGTCCTGGTGTACTTGCTACACACGTTTCCTTAATCGTAGATAGACCACATCACTGATTTTATTTTGTCCTCTTAGTAGCCCAGGTGTCCTATAGTATTTCTTATGTTTGACATAAACTAGAAGAATGTAGAGGCTGATCAGTATAATTCACCTTTGTGGTAAACTATATTTCCCTGGTAAAGGTAAGGTAGGGAGAAAAAAAAAAAGCTACTTCGTTTTTCTGAGACATTGGAGGTTTGTTAAACAATCTGCAGCTGCAGGAGGACCTATAGTTGTTTTGGTTTTGATTTTAATTATGTGAGCTTAGAAAGAACAATTTATTTGAGTACCAGCTATCACTTTCTGAATGTTATCTTCCTGTAAAGCCCTACTGTTCTCTTTGTTGGGATGCTGTGGTAAGGTGGAAACAAACCGTGGCATTTCAGTGGTTTTGGGGGGTCCAGGTGACCCAGGGAGGAGATGGTAGGATCCCTGCACTGATCCATTGATGAACGCAATTGTAACCTGCTGCACTTTGCCAGAATGATCTATTTAAATGTTCTGGGGAACTTTAGGTTTGTTTTTGTTTTTTTTTTCTTCTGATGTCCTTTTTCTTAGACTATGTAATGTGTCATTTATCTGATAAAAAGAAAAGAGGCGCTAATTTATTTGTGAAACAGTTTTCCTTCTTTTTAACATTTACTACCTACCTCTCTACACGGTATACCCATCACAGAACATAGTTTTCTAGTCCAAGTGCTATTGTACCGTTCCTTTTCAACGCATATTTAGGATGTAATCTGCAAGACTTCTGATTTTGTGGAGGTGATACCTTGCTTAGAAACCAGTAGTTTTTAAGAAGCAAGCCAAAACAGTTAAACTTTAAAAAAAAATTGTAGTTTCATCACAGTACTTCATATTTTTTAATAAAAACATGCATTGAGAATATTCTTAGCAATTTCACTTGCGAAGACTGGAGTTGTTTGATGTTCTTGGGTCAGAATAGCTGTATTTTTAATAACAGGTAGATAAATATTTATCACTTTCAGATTAAGATAATGAAATTAAATTTTCCTCTGTAGACTTTGTTTTTTATTTCAAAGAACTTCCTTCGTAGCTTGTATATGTTTGGGGTTTTTTTCTTAACTTGCCCATTTAATTTCAGTAGAACACACAAGTGACTCTGCTGACAGAAATCTGTGAGACTGGAAAAGCCGATACAACATCTCCGGGACTGGAAAGACCGAAGCTCAGTAGGGCTTTTTAATTTCCCGAACTTTAATGGACAGATGCAATGACGGGCTAGGAGGGGGCCATAAGTGTGTCAAACGTCTCCCCCACAAGTGAGCTGAGACCTTCTCAGAGCAGGAGAGATCAGCCAGGGTTACAGTCCCTTGGAGCTTAACGTGGCATCTCTGATCGCTGACCCAAGTCCCCCTTAGGACAGCAGCGGCATCTTGATTTTTGACTGGGAGGAGGCAGGACATGCTGCTTCCCTGTCTCCAACATCTCCTGCCAAATCTGCTTTCACAGCCTTGGCATGGTGGGCTGGAGACTGGGTTTCAGTGCTTTGTATGTTGTGATGCAACAGACAGACCTGTATTTGCTGCTTAAACTACGGTGCCATCGGGACAATGCTACAGGGCTGACCGCTCTATGCTTTATACCCAGCAGCTTTTCTCCTTTAGAGCCACCTCTTCTAACCAGGCCACTGACACATTTGTGGGTATTTTGGGTCTAAAATTTTTCTAACTTCAACCTTGATTGCTATTTTATGATCTTAATTTTACTTCTCTGGCCATCTGGCTGGTTTGAAAAGCAAAGGAGGCTAATCCTGTACTGTCGTGATTTAGGAGAAGAGAAGGGGATCCAGTGTGATGAGTGCAGGGGGTTATCTTGAAAATAATGGGGTTTGACAACCTTTCTGTTTACAGTCAGCAGATCAACATTTAGAAAATTCAGGATCACAGAATCACAGAATGTTCGGGGTTGGAAGGGACCTCTGTGGGTCATCTAGTCCAACCCCCCTGCCGAAGCAGGGTCACCTACAGCAGGCTGCACAGGACGGCGTCCAGACGGGTCTTGAATATCTCCAGAGAAGGAGACTCCACAACCTCCCTGGGCAGCCTGTTCCAGTGCTCCATCACCCTCAGAGGGAAGAAGTTCTTCCTCATGTTCAGACGGAACTTCCTGTGCCTCAGTTTGTGCCCATTACCCCTTGTCCTGTCACTGGGCACCACTGAAAAGAGCTTGGCCCCATCCTCCTGACACCCACCCTGCAGATATTTGTAGGCATTTATAAGGTCCCCTCGCAGCCTTCTCTTCCTCAGGCTGAACAAGCCCAGTTCAGATGGGGCCTCCCTAGGGCAGAGTAGAGGGGAATGAGAACCTCCCTCGACCTGCTGGCCACACTGTTCTGAATGCACCCCAGGATCCCATTCGCCTTCTTGGCAACCAGGGCACACTGCTGGCTCATGATTAACCTGTCATCCACATCCACTATCCTGCCATACACCTTTAAACCACTTGTTTGCGCTTCCTTTATTATGAAATATTGGAAAATCCAACGTGGTTTCTTCAGATTTTGAGTATTCCTTGTATACACTGCCTTCAGTTATGGGCACTGCTGGCATGTCGTTTTGAGAAAGAAATCTTGAGTTGATTTTCATTGTGTTGAGAGAAAAAGAATAGTGAGAGTCAGGTCTGTTTGTAAACTCCATCCATTTCAGCTAGGAAGTGAAATAAGTTTTGACAGTGATACTGATATTATTTCTCCTCAGCACAGAAGTGTGTGTTGTAATGTACGCTTTATCGCTTGTGATAGTCTCCTCATTGGTTTTGCTTTTCTATTTTTAATAGTTTTGGGGGCTTTATTTTTGCTCGAACATAATTAGCATTACACTGTACAGAGAACACTATTTATTCTTGGTCTGTTTGCTCTTCCATGGTCACAGGTTTGATGTCTCAAATGTATTCATTTATGAATAGAATCAATCAAATAAATAAAGGGCAACAAATTGTATCTGTTCAGATCTGCCAGGGCAGAGATGGTTTCAAAATTTATCTGAGAACCTATCTTTCTTACTGAGCTACAACAGCAAAATGAATGGCCTGGTGTTTGCCTTGTTTTAAAAAGCAGTGTATACATTCAGCAGCCGATTGTATTTCAGATTCCAGGGTACAGATTGTTGCTTTTCATTTCTCTGATAAAAAGCAAAATAATATTGCAGAGCCCCTCAATTCTTGAAATGGGTAAACATTTCTCATAAAAATGCAGCAGCTCATTTTCAGTTAATTGTAATAAATTAACTATGACAAAGCAACAGTAATTCTCATGAAAATTTGATTTGGGTGTGCTGAAAGCGGGCGCGCATTACATACTGCAGACCACCACAATGACAGCAGCGTACGTCTCAGAAATCCATCAGTTATTGTGTGTTACGGTTTTCAGGCACCTACAGTATGGCCCTGAAATGTGCTTCTTTTGTGCAGCACCACAACAGCCCGCTCCTTCCTCACCTGGGCTCTCTCCCTGCAGCCCAGTCCTTCCCCCCGAAAAAACAAGCAGTGCTCCCAACAGCAGAACCCACACCTGAAATAATAGGTTGCCTTTGGTGAAGGGAGAGATGAGTGAATGGAAACACCGGCTTTTCATCCATTGAGGGGTGGTGGAGACCAGTGCAAAAAATGCTCAAACATATGGATATTTAGTACTAAAAACAATATTTTAAATCATGTTTTAGGACTTCGCCCAAAAAGAACTCTGCGCTTGGTGCTATGGACGGCAGAAGAGCAGGGAGGAATAGGTGCTGAGCAATACTATCAGTTGCACAAGGTGAGTGATGTATTCAGGTGATTTGCTTGACAGCACTTTTCTCCCTAGTCTTGGACTTCCATTTTATTTTTGTCAAAATGTTCAGCTTAATAACCAACCAAAATTAGTGATTCCGGTTCTGCCTGAAAATATATTTTCTGGTTTTAATCATAAATCTAAACTTCATTTTACATTTAACAGAAAGTGAAGTGACCATGCATATACATATTCTGCTTGATCTGTGATATTCTGTCACAAAACTGTTCTGAAACAGATATTTCATGATGATATCTGCCATGGCTTTCAAACAGTGCTGATTTTCTGAGAATGAATGACGAATGGTCCACATATGTTGGCAATATAAATAAATTTTGTTTGCCTAATATATTTCTGCTTCGTGGCATTTTCCCATAATATTTGACAATGTAAGACGAAATAATACAAAGAAAAATCTTTGCTAGCTTATCTTAATAGTGTGTAATCTAAAATATTCTTTGCCAGTTATGAGGTTTTTTTGGATCTGGAGCATTTTAAATGGTTGATTTCTGATGATGCAAGGATCACACAAACTCTATGACTGGTTATAAGGATAAAAATATTGTGTATTGTCACATCTGTCTCTCCTGCCAAAACCTGCCTTTTCAAAGTACATCATGACATAAAGAGCAGTTGCATAAAACTGTTTTGGAGATAAGTCTTTGAATGTATTTGGGTTTTTTTTCCCCAGAAAAATTATGCTGTACCTATATAACTAAGCTAAAATAGTTATCTTTTAGTCTTTTCCCTAATTTAGCAGTATTACTCTCAGCAATGGTTAATATATCCAAGGCAGAGACAAAATGAATGCAAATGTCTTTAGGAAGTCACCTGCTGTACAATAGTATGAAAGCAGATTTACAAGCAATTCCTGAGAGTATGTTTTTAATGGTAAGCAACCTGTCAGAACAAGTAAATGGAAATTTCACTTTGAATCATTGCGATGAACAAAACTAAATCAATTTGCATCTGCAATAGAGTTATCAGAGATAGTGTTACAGTGGTTATGGTTTTCTGACTAATTGAAGAACAGTCAATTTTTTCCCACTAACTTGTTTAATATTACTAAAAAGTGTATTTATCTACCCATATATGATGTAGTTGCTCCTTATATCTGCAGATTATAGGGACAGCTCCACTCTTCCATTTGGAAGAGGTACCCAGGAGGTTGCCTTCTCAGTTTCAGGGAGGTGACAGGTTGCAGTTTAGTTGAATTATTCTGGAATACGTAGCACAGGAAAGAGATGCTTCTCAGATACAGAAACGCATTTTGGAGGGGCTGGAGGGGTGCTCTGTGCCTAGCGTACACCACTCATGAGAATTGTATCGTCACCTCTGTATATTTCCATGTCAGAAAAGAAGATCCATCCTATGGTGTGGTTGTCAGCAACACATGAAATTGTCTCATGTACGTCTCATCTTTTACCAAAATGTCTGCATTTCACTGTTGTCTCGAGGATTTCTATTCAAATGTAATATAAAAAAGCAGGCTGAAGGATCAAATAAGGAAATACAAAGCAGGCTGGGTGTTGTTTGAAAGATATTTGGTTACTTTGCTTTTAAAAAAATTGAGACAAAGATGTGTCTCAATTTTTGCTCTGCTGATGCAGTTCCATCTGGATGTTGTGTTCTGCAAAGAAAGCCCAGTCTAACTTCACAAGAATTTGTAATTTTCGTGGAGAATTTAAGCAGAAATGACATCCGTCTGTTGTTTGTTGTTCTTCTTTCCCCTCTGCCATGTGATCTGGCATAATTACAAATTGGTGCAACTATAGGACATCACATTACTCATAGTAACAAAATAAAGCAGATTAATACTGTACATTAAGTTAGCATGAAAAATAACCTTTTAATGATTTACTTGCACAAATTTCTGACAATTACGGTAGTATGGCATAAACATTGCTTGCTGATGGTAATGAGTACAAGTTAACTAAGAGTGGTATTTAAAGATGCATTGTTAAATGAAAGATGGCCTGTATGACTCATCTACATAGCTAGGCTTATTATGACTTTAGTTCACTACAAACAAGTAGAAATATGAATGCAGTAATTCAGCACAGACAGACACGGATTTCCTTGACATTGTAAATTACCTCCTTATGTCAGTGGAAATGTGACAAGGGAGGAGAAATGAAGACAATATAGTACTGGACAAGTACAAATACTCTTACTTTCATAGCTTATTTATTTTTTCTTTAAGTTTAATTTCAGGTCTTTCTTCCTCATCCATCGTTGTAGGTTGCCACTGCTACAAAGTGGATAAATTACTGCAGAAATAAGTGAGATAGCAGCAGCGTAGTGGTTTTACTGTGGTGCCAATAATTAACTCATATCCCTGCATAATAGCATTATTTATATCACTCAAGTATTTCTGTAGAGCCAGTATTATAGTTTCTGATTATTAAAACTACCTATAGGATATATTGGCTGTTCAGAGCATGTAAGAGAATCTAAGATCTGCCATGCTGGATTGACCAAAAGCTCAGTCGAGTGTTGTCTCCTGTTTCTGGTAACATTCAGTAACTAGATGCTTGGGGAAAGCACGTTTGCCCAATGCAGTCAGAATAAGCTCAGACACATAGATTACTCATGCAACACTGTTTTTGTTTTATCACATATTTTTCTGGAGAGCGTCTCATGGTCCTCATCTGTTGTTGAAGAAGTTCTTCCTCGTGTTCAGACGGAACTTCCTAAGCTTCAGTTTGTGCCCATTGCCCCTTGTCCTGTTGCTGGGCACCACTGAAAAGAGTCTGGCCCCATCCTACTGACACCCACCCTTAAGATATTTATAGGCATTTATGAGGTCCCCTCTCGGCCTTCTATTCTCTTCTCTTGCAGTTATTCAGTACAGATTCTCCTATAACCTTTAACAACAGTACTTGAGTGCCCCCCAGGAATTTATTCAAGTTTTTTGTATGTTTACTCTTAGGAGAGAAAGAAGTATACATAATGAACTATCTATCTTCCTTTCATTGCTTGGACTACTTTCTGTGCAAGATCTGTGTACCATGAAGACAAGGTTACAGTTATTTACCCAGCTGAATTAAGGGACTATGAATGGCTGATAATGTTTATTTTGGAATAGAAGTATTGCATACAATCTCCTGGGAAAGCAAATACATTTTGTAATTAGAAGACTGAGAGATCCTAGGCCATATTCAAATTTACTTTGGTAACTCTGTTGTGATCACTGAAGGCATTAATCTGTTATGAATTTAATTCAAACCGCATTAGAGAAAGCATTCTTAAAATATTTCTGCATGCTTTTATTCCTATCTTAATGATGTTTACAGTACTTACCTAAATTTCTGGTGCAAATGCCATACACCATTTTAACTTTTTAGGAAAGGTTTAACTTTACGCAAAACATCGATCACCAGTGTTAACTATGGTTTCCTTTTTGTCTTTATTACCAAGCAGATTTGATGTTTTCCCCAGACCGGGTCTGCATGAGAACAGGACCTTCTGAAATGCTGGTATCTCATTGCTAATTTAAGTACTTTTTGTTGGTGCTCACGTGAGATTTCAACTGTGATTTGCTAATGGGTTACTTTCACAGAATCACAGAATCACAGAATAGTAGGGGTTGGAAGGGACCTCTTTGGGTCATCTAGTCCAACCCTCCTGCCGAAGCAGGGTCACCTACA